GGATCGGAAAAGTATTACTGGATATTTGATCCGAATGGCTGGAATATGCATATCATGGGCAAGCTGCAAACAAGTGTGTGTGTCGTTATCAACTGTTCAAGCAGAGTTGATAGCCTTAAGTGAAGGAGTGAAAGAGTGTGAATGGATCTTCATGCTGCTAAAAGAAATGGGATTTCACGTGAAAAGACCGATCACTATCTGGACAGATAGCCAGGCAGCTATCGATATTGTGAAAAATCCATCAAATCACAAAGCTACGAAACACATTGAAATTCGTCACCTTTTTACACGTGACTTATCAGAAAAGGGAAAAATCAAGTTGAGGTTCTGCCCAACCAAAGAAATGGTTGCAGATATCCTGACCAAGGCGCTGGCGCCCACACAGTTTGAAATACTTCGATTCCTCATGGGAGTTCGAGACCTTGGTGTGGCCTGGAACAATGAAGAGAAAAATGTTCTGTTTCAGTGGAGTTAGCCGCGTCATGACAGATCAAGTGGGAGTGTTGAATATCAGTGTTAATTCAATATTATCCGTAAATTATTCCGGATAAGTTTCATACTGATTTACAAAGTAAGACATCAGTAGTGTTGCTTGCATTAGGTCACGACATTGGAATGAGCGGCCAGCATCGTCTGTAGATGTATCTTGAGTGATCTGCATGACCCAGGCCTATATTATTCAGGGATTGGCTGCTCTCTGTTTGACACTCGTTAATGCCACGTGACGTCATAGCTAGCAATAGTTCATCAAGTTGGTGCGATGAAGCAGAGGCTTGTGTTCACTTTGGAATTGCCCTTTAACTGAGCACCTTAATACCAACCCCTTTCAACCCCACCACTGTGTTGCCCGCGTTCATCTGAATACTTACAACCCAGACGCCAACCAAAACCTCGGGGCAGACCACTGCAGCTTTCCGATCGCCACCGACATCAGCTTCTCAGAGCAGCCACCACCGGCGCGTCAAGCGACGTCCAAATCCGTGCCGACTTGAACCTGCCTTGCTTTAAAAGGACCCCCCCACGCGAAGTTCAACGAAGCGACTTTTCTCGAGTACTCCAGGATGGAGAAAACCCTCGATCTTACACCCCAACACAAAGTCGCGAGATTCGACTGGGCCATGGCGCGTTGCAGAACCGAAGAGTGGAAGTTCGTCGTGTTTTCGGACGAAAAGAAGTTCAACCTGGATGGTCCGGATGGTTTTAAGCAGCACTGGAGCGATATTCGACAACCCGCGAAACAAGTCGTGACACGGCAACAAGGCGGCGGTTCAGTGATGGTTTCGGGTTGCATTGCGTGGGAAGGTAAGAGCAAATTGGCGTTTCTTAGTGGCAAGCAGTCGTCCTGCCACTACATCTATTCTCTTTCAGAGTATTTACTGCCATTTTCCCACTTAAACTATGGTGCTGATTTTGTCTTTCAGCAAGACAATGCATCTATTCATGTTTCCCATGAAACAATAGACTTTTTTCACGAGCAACACCTCTCCGTCATGCCATGGCCCGCGCGCTCTTCTGACCTGAATCCAATCGAAAACATCCGGATAAGTATCGGAAATTATGTCCGGATATCTTTTTGTATCCGGATACCTGTATTAGTAAGATGAGTTTTTTAAATCGAATTGACTTCTCGGATTGGTGAAGTTTCATCCAATCGAGGGCCGTATTCACCCGCGACCGACCGAGACGTAGCAACGGAACCCTCGCTGTGATGCAAGGAGCCGTGGATTTTGACGATGTTGGCCCAATGGAGCTCAACGTGTCGAACTACTTCCATGGGGTGGAGCTAAACTCATTCCTGGACACATTACTGGGTGAAGATGGCGAACAGGAGCATGCTGATGTTGATCGAATAGACCATGGTGGTCGCTCTCCACCACCACAACCACCGCCCCCACCCCACGACGCAATGCCCCCCGAGGCATTGGTGATTGACCTTACCAGCGACGATGCGAATGAGGACGACATTGCGCTCGTTGTTGTGGACGCCCACCATCACCCTATCGCAGGCTCCAAAAACAGGACCACGACAGCCCCACCACCAAGGAAACTCATGTGCAAGAAGCGGAAACTGGCCCTGCAAACACAGCAGAAAGCGCGCCACATCCGATACGACCCTGAACACATGCGATCGGCGGAATGCACGCAAGTGTGTCTGGACAACCAAGCGGCGATGGAGATGTATCGGCAAGCGACGACGTGTGCGATCTGCCTCGACACTCTGCAGGACTTGACGTCAACACCCTGCGGCCACATATTTTGTCGGCAGTGCCTTGTCCACGCGCTGGAAGCGTCCAAGAAGTGTCCCATGTGTCAGAAGCCCACCCAGCTGCACGAAATCCACGCCCTCTACCTTTAATAGTACTACTACCTACTACCTACCTACTAGTACACAACATCCCGTCCCGTCGTGAACAGTGCCATGAACCACATTATTATCCGTTTAGTTAGTCCTCATGCACAGCTCCTTTATCTGGCACGAACAGCGCACTGTAAAAGTCTCCAGGAAGCATCGGGTCCATGTACTGCTTGGCGATGGCCGCGATGAGCTTGGTGCGCTTCTCTTGTGGCCTAACGCAACCATCAACTCATGCGAAAATGACAAGGGCGTACCGAATCGGGGATTGGGACGACAGCCCCAGCGAGTGCTTGTAGCGCAAGTGGAGGCGGTGGACGTGCACGGCATTGAGGGCCGTTTGCCGGATCAGCGGCCCCAACCACTCGCTACCCACGACCATGCCATCCTACACCCACGCAGCCATCCACCCATTTCCGTCGTTAGCTCCTCACATGTCCATCATCGAGGTCGCCTACCTGCAATGGACCGAGCACGCGGCCACTAAACGTGTCGTCGGCGGCGCGGGTTGCATCTACACGAGACGAGCAACCAATATATCGGTCATGATAGTAGGGACATGCCATGAAACACACCTCCATTGGACAGGTCGAACGCCGACCCGTCGACACAGATCCGGACGCAAAAGAGCCCGTCGTCCAGGGGGTCAATGACGATGGTCACGCACGCCTTGGGGGGCGGGAGGTTGTACGCAGACGCCCACAGTGCCGTGCCTGGGCGGTAGTTTTGCTGGCACTCGTTCCAGACAATCAGCACTTCGGCCTTGTCCAGCACGGACGCGTGGCCAAGCGTCGGCACGTAGTACGCCACCTCGTAGTTGTGCTGGGCGTACACCAACGCCCGGGAATCGGGAAGGTTCCGGTCGAGGTAGCCGAGGAACCCGCCGTACGAGTGCGCGTCCACAGCGCTCCCCATGGTCGCCAAGAACCCGAGGTATGCGTCCGAGCATGTCGAAGTGGTCACGAGGTTCACCACGTCGTAGCCAGCGCGGGACGGCTGGTTGACCACGTACGCAATGCCAATCTAGTTGGATACCCCATTATGTCAACAAGTAGCAGCATTGTCGTTGTAGTACTTCGTAGGTTTCTCGTGTGGGCAGACGATCGAGCGCTTGCAGGTCCTTGACCAGCTGACCCGACGACGGAAGCAGCGGAAGCAACGAGCCCCAGCTCGCCACCGACAAGAACCCCAGTTGCGACAGCAGGCGGCGGGCAATGTGGGTCGTGGAATGGGCCGGAGGGGGGGGCTCGAGCAAGTTGACCGTGGCGATACGGCGGTGCTGCACAAAGTCGTTGGACTGGGACTGCAGAAGCGACTGAAAGAGCGTCACTTGGGCTTCGTGGCGTTTGGCAGACGCGTCCGTCGCGTGCTTACCGCCGCTGTTGCCCTCCCACCCCTCGGTCGACCAGCTCGTGAGCGACGCCGCGTTCTTTCGAAGGGAGCGCAGGAGGGGGTCCGGGTTTGCCTCCAAGGGGCTGACGGGGGTTGATGTCGGAGTCGGGGCGTGCTGAGACGGATGCGACTGAGCGGGCGGCGGCGACGGGGGGGCGGACGCCAACGTCGCAAGTTTCGACGGCACGTACTGCGGCTGGGTGCGCCACTGGTAACACCCGGACGAGTCACGCAGCGTGAGCTGGACGTAGTCGGTCGTCTCGAGAATGGACAGCACCGTGTGCAAATTCCACGTGTAATGCACGGCCGCGGGGTCGTACGTCTACAGGTCCCTTAGTAGAAGAGTTTATGGGGCACACAAAAAAGGGCAATGTGGCAAACCTGCTTGGCGCCGTCGACGTTGCCGTGGGCGTGATGCTTGACGAGGTACTCGAGCAGATGCTGGGCGCTCTGGCGGGTGGCATGGTCCGCGTGGGGCGTCGTGGCGGGGAAGTCGACGTGGACGTCGGCGGCGTCAACGGTGGTCGCGATGACTTTGACCATCACCTGGGCCTTGGACAGAAGCTGCGGCGTTGTGACCACCCATTCCAACAGACATGACGTGGCAGACGCAATGAGCTGGTCCAAATACGGCGGCGGCGACCGCGTGGCTCGCAGCACTTGGGCGTTTGCCGCCATAAACTCACACACGCAGCTTATCAAGAACACGCACGACGAAAACACGTGCTTGAACAGGTGCTCGCTCACGATGGTCAAGTACCGGAGACATTCGAGCGCTGTGAAGATCACCGCCGGTTTCCATCGACTACATCAAGACCGTCATAGCGACGATGACACGAAGGGGTGACGACACACCTCGGCACTTTGGTCACGAACGAGCAAATGGTGCTGATGGTCGCGGGTACTTGGGAGTTGCGCGTGGACGCGAGCCCCACGGCCCAAAAGAGGGCTTCCTTTTGGACGGCGATTGTGAGTTGCCACATGGCCATCTAGAAGTGTACGATGTGGTTAGATCGTCCAACACGACAGACGTTGAACGGACTTGCTGGTTGGTCGGGTCTTGCTCTGTTTTCAAGTAGTTGATGAGTAATGTTACGACGTTTGAGCTTTGGTAGCGCGGCAGCGACGAGTAAATGCCAGGCAGGAGGCTCTCGTCCAGTCGTTCGTTGGCCACAAGTGTCTTTTCGACTTGTTTCGTGATTGCCAGCTGTCGTATATGATTGGATAAGTACACACCTATCAAGGAATGTTGTTGTGGTGGTTCGTACAGGGTAGTGGGAATGGATGGTCAGGAGCGAACTGCACGCTTCGATACATGCGCGGCGCAGCACCGTGACCGCGACGCCGCCCACCGCCGCGGGTACCGCCGCCGACGAGTCCAAGTCTGACGCCATGGACGACCGCTTGTCGACCAAACTGTCCTTGCGTGAGGGAGCTACCGCTGTCTTGGTCACGGTCAAGCTACACATAAACCCATGATACATATCCACACACCCCACGGCGGGGGTTTCAAGTCTTCCGGCGTACCTCAAAATGTGGTCGATCGCATAATGAAAGCTGCCGGCCAACACACCCACGCCTCGCAACGTGTGCGTGCCGTGGGTTCCAAAGATGCGGGAGCAGCTCACGACCGCCGCCGCCACCACCACCACCTGACGCCACCACAAAAACATAACCGATCATAAATATCGAAGACACACTCGCGTACTTCGTCCGTGTCGAGCAGCGCTTTTTGGATGGCCATGAGCGCTCGAATCGTGAACGGCCACGACACTTGCTTGGTCCGGCCGATGCCGTGGCGGCAGAGCAGCCCTCCAAGGCACCGAATGGCTTCGGCTCGGCAGAGTGCGAACCGGGGTGCGGCCGTGCGGTTCAACGACGCATCAAACAGCCACGGCCCCAGGATGCGCAGGATCGTGTTGACGTCGGGAAGCTGGGGGGGCTTTGGCGGCGCCGGCGTCGACGCGGGCTTGGCCAAGCTGAACACTTGGGCTAGGTCGTGCACGCCCGTCTACCGTCGTGTGTTTCTGTTTGTCAGGTGGATGGAAAAAACTACAAATAACGACGAGCACAACAACGAAGACAACGTACGATCGCTGCCAAGTACACGTCCGGGTCGACAAATAAGCTCGGGTGGCCAATCACGCGCATGACGCGGTACCACGCGTAGGCCAAGAGCGGACTGGCGAGTTCGAAGCAAGTCACGTGCGCGTTGTCCATCCACTTGATGGACACGGAAGGAGGAGGAGCAGCATGCTCGGACGAAGATGGAGGAGGCGCGTGGAGGCGGCCCATGAGGTGCTGCGTAAGGGCGAGCGACGCTTTGTGCCACTGCTCGATCACAGCTTTGCGGTGCAGCCAGCGCCGGCAAAACTTGAGCAGCATATTCCACAGCTCGCCCTTCACCCCCGTGACATGCAATGACAGGATGAACTGTTCCAGCGTCACGCGGAACAGGTGCGCGCACAGCGACAACGCCAGCGTGTGCTTCGAGCCGTGGAGCACGCAGTCGGTGATCCCGAGGAGGAGACGGAGCAAGTGGTCCCATGTCGCGGCGGTCAGCTGCGTGCCCCGCTTGCGTCCAAGGGCAGAGTACAAGTCTAGGACCCTGTAGAATAACGAACCAAACGTGAGAAGTAGTGACAACCATGATGATGAGGATGTTGGTTGATCGTACGTTTGACAAAGTGTGGCGTGGGTGGCGATGAGGTCTGGCTTGGACCGATGACCTTCCTTGTCCTCAAAGAGAAGAGACATGTGGCCAAGAAGATCCCGAATGAACTCTTGCTCCTGCGCGTGCATACACTTGGGACGCCCGTCTGCGCTGGCACTCCCGAGCCCGAGCCACTTTTCGTAGACGCCGATAGCACCGAGAATGACACCGCTGTCCTCCATGCCCAAGGCAAAGCTATGACCGAGCGGCTCCATGGCCCATCGAACGTGTGCGGGGGTGGCGAGGACTACTGACATGGACGGCGGTAGTGGCGATGCCGCCACTTCCGTGGACGATTGCTGCTCCGACGTATTGCTGAGGAAACCCACCACCATGGAGCAGATACCTCGTTGGCACCCTTCATTGAACCCCTTGAGGATATGTGCCTCGGGCGGCGCCTGAAGCAGCTCGCACTTGGATACCCACGTCAGGAACATTCACTGGCGAGGTTGGCGTAATGTCGACGCGAGAAAGCAATTTTTTAGCGACATCTGATAAACCACTTGGAAAATGTATTGAATAATTGAAATATTAAAAATAGCAGTGTTGCAGCCATGATCATTTCCTTGTGATTGATTTCCGCGATTTGCAATATCCGCGCGAGCGAGGCGGAAGGCCGTCTTCCAACCACATACAAGCATGTGGATGAACCGTCCACGTGGCTCCATCACTCATGGTCTGCAAACGCTAGGATGTGCATGTACGTGCTGAGCACGGTGCGCAGTTCGCCCCGCGTGACGTTCTCGCGCCACATGATTTCCACGAGGTGATGCTGGCCGTGAAAGTAGGGTTCAAGCCGTCGAAACAAGTCGACGACGGGTGTGGGGGTGTTGGTCCGTCGCGCGAGTTGCGCGAGGAACTCCTTCTCCGTCGCGGCTGGCTCGGACGACTGCGGCGAGTACGTCGGCGGGAGGAGCGGCGATAGCGGCACGGGCGGCGGTAGGTGCACGTCGTTGTTTCCTTCTTCGGGGTCCGGGATCATCAAATAAACATATCGGTGCATCTGGGACACATACTCGTGCTGCAGCAGCCAAATCTATGTGCATATGTCATGTTGTTTCTGTACTACTTGCTGTCAGTTGCTCACCAGCATGTGGACATATTCGAGTTTGCGCTGCGGATTCAACGTCGTCATGAACGCCGACAGTCGACTCTTGCCGTTGAACGTCGCGAGCACCTCCGACAGCTCCATGAACGTAAACTTGCGGCGAAACTCGAGCGCGGTCGCCGACTGGCTGTGCACGTTCGTGGCGGCGGGACTCACTTGGTAGACGTTGTACATGGTGATGGCTTCGATCACTTTGGCCACGCCCCAGTACACGAGATGCGCGGCGAGGCGGAACAGTTGCTTGAGGGGAAGCCCGGTCTCGAGCATGAGTTCCTGGAAGTCGCGCAGGGGGTTGTGCGCGTCGATGAGGAGGCGGAGCTGCGGCGACGCGTCGGCCGGGAGCGCATCAAGCACCTTGTCGTTGTCGTGGAGGAGGAGGAGTGTGTGATACGGCCGCATGGACGTGATGTGGACGGTGGTGGCGTCGTCCAGCGTCAGGGACAGCTGCACCCACCGGTTGAGCAGCACATGCACCGCGCCGTCCTCTTCCAACCCGTGGTAGATGGCTTTGAGGTCGTTTGCGAGGATGCTCTTGCCGAGCGCGACGTCGATGAGCGTCTGCGGGTCGACGTCGACATCCCCCTGGGTGTCCTTGTCGCCGTTGTTGCCGTTGCCGCCGTTCGAGTTGTTGTCGGACGAGTGCAACGCTAGCTGCCGCTCATTCTGCGCAATTTCGTCGCGGATATGCAGCAGCTCGCGCACTTCAGTGGTGACGAACCCCACGCGCGCTTCTTCATGCATCAGTGCGTGCGCTAACTGAGACGCGACTTGGGCGAATGCGTGGACCTTCTGGTCGCGATGGGAGGACGACGACGACGAGGTGCGCGAGGAAGAAGGAGCGAGGATCCCATCGAGCTTCGAATCGTCCAACGCGAAAATGACGTTGAACATGGACGTGTCACGTCGTCCAGTGCCGCCGCCGTTGGTGGAGGTGGTCGCAGTCGTGGATGGCGTTGGGTTCGTAGCAGATGTGGGCACATTGATCGTCACGGGATGGCTGATGAAGCGCAGGTCGTCGATCACGAGTTGGAACGTTTGGTTACAGAGGACATTCTTCGGGCGGAAGAGCTTGGCCACGAGCGCGGAACTTAAGCGATGGAACGCAGACACGTGGCTATCACTTTGTGGGGCAGGGTACCGGAAGGCCAAGTTGCATCCTTTGTGGATGTCATCTACGACCAAAGCCACCCCAAGGCAGCAGCCTAGCGTGGCCGAGCTCATCGCACTCCCACGGTTGAAAATCGGCACAACTTGGAAAATATCTTCAGGTAGCCAAAATATCTGTGGAAAATTTTGGCATAAAATCCTACATATTTTGGTCGACCGAGTAGTTCCAAGTGCAGCACTTGATTGGCCATTATCCTTTCAGAATACTACCAGTAAAAACGAGCAATTGAAAGCCACTTACTACTGTACTTTAATAGTACTGCATCCAGGGTATCAGGATTAGGGTTATTTGAAAATATTATATTTGAGAGTACTCTATAGACCTTACTGTATAATCGGCAAAAATTAATACTATTAAAAGATATAGGTTATTATTTGTAAATATGATATTGGCCTCATTTCCGTCACGTTTTGTGACATATCTCACAAGATATTCATTTCTACACCTGACATCCAAAGAACGTTTTTTATATGGCGTTTAGATATGAGCACACAAGAAGTTTCACTGAAACAGGCCATCTGGACCTTGAGAAATGCATAAATATTCCTACGATGGAAATTCTTCAAACTGTAATTGACAGTTTGATTAATTTCCATCATATTAAAGCCGTTTTCACTGTGAATCATTTTATCCAATCACATTGTCGAATCATGGTCTTTCGGTGGATGAAAACAACGTTCGAAAATGTCTTCAACATTTCATGGGGTGACATGTCAACCCTCCTAAACCTCGCGCATATATGTAAATTATTAATACATCAGTGGGACGACACAAATATCACTTCGATTTCCAGTTATTAGGGACTTTTATAGCACGAGCGGTCTTTGCAACCTTGCTAATATATTTATGACGCTAAGTACATATGCTTCCAGTATACTGTCAAGGTCGTCGGATGGTGTCGTAGAGTTAGTTCAACAAGCTGCGGAGCACGGTCTTGACGTTGAGCTTGGCGAGATGGGTGTACTTTTGCCCCGTGCCGACAAACATGATGGGCTGGCCGGTCTTGTACACCATCGACACGGCGGCCCCAACTACATACAGTATTCCCACGTTCAAGCGTCAATATATATATATATATTTCATGCTCTCCAAGGCAACAAAGAATACCTTTATCGTCAATCGTGTCAAACTTTGTGATCACGATGCCATCCACTCGACGCGGCACTTGGCGATCCGAATAGTCCACCAGCGCCTATGGATGTACGTACATACACTCCAAGTCAACGACCAACACTCGTTGTCTTGATATTGCCATGAACGTCGTTCGTACCCGATCGAAGAGGGAGAGCTGGTCGATGCCGTCGTTGCCGACCAACGCCTCGCCCACAAACAGCACCAGGTCCGGGTTGTTGACAGACACGAGCTTGGCTAGCGCGCGCATGAGTGGCTCGTTGTTCTGCATGCGGCCGGCCGTGTCGATGAGGACGCAGTCGAACCCGTGGTCGTTTCCGTGAGCGATCGCGTCCTTGGCAACCGACGCAGGGTCTTTGGCGTAGCCTACCCATATATACATCATCATGAGACCCACATGTCCTCCTCTGCATGCATCCTTGTCATATCGGCGTCCATCCCCCACCTACCTCGCTCAAACAGCGGCACGTCCAAGACCTTGCAGTGCTGGTTCAACTGCTCCACGGCCCCCGACCGAAACGTATCGCACGCAGCAATCATGATCTATCATGACAATATTCGAGTGTCGCTGTGTGTGTGTGTGGGTAGGTACTTATTAGGTACCTTGACGCCGCGGGACTTGAGGTAGTATGCCACCTTGGACAAACTCGTCGACTTGCCCACACCGTTGACGCCGACAAACACAATGCTGTAGCACCGCCCTTGGTCGCGCGCCGCCAGCACTTGGCGGAGGACGTCCGTCGACTTTTTCGGCGTCAGGATGCGCAACAAGGCGCCTTCGAGCGCGGTTTGCACCACCGTTTGGATGCTACAACTCGTCTGTCAAGCCCTCTTCCTTCATCCGTGTACGTACCGCGTAAAGCTCTCGAGGCGCTGGCCGATCATCGTGGAAATCACCGACTCGCACATGTCTTGCGCCACCTCGGACGCCACGTTCTTGCTGATCAGCTATACATCATGAACATGATTTTGTGGAAGGGGGGGGGTATGTATATATATATATATATATATATACCAGCTGACGGAATTGCTCCACCACGGGCGCCACGTCGTCGCGGTCCAAGATCTACCCATAGCCACATATTATATATATATATATATAGTGCTTTCGAGTGAAATGTCGTATTGTGGTTTCTCGTTGGAATTTCAATCGATTTGATTGGCTACTTCAGGTATGAGCTCAAAATTATTAACCAATCAAAACCTTCTCAATGAAATTCAACAACCAATCAGATCGATTGTGGATCGGTTTGGTCGGCGCGATTCGATTCGATTGCACCCCGTCCCCACTTTGTATATCAAATCGACAATATATATATATATATATATCCTTGAGCAAGTTGGTCAGAAACAAATGTGTTTATGTACCTTGTTACCGGAAATCGAGTGCAAAAAGTTCCCAAATCGCGTTTTGCCAAAGGTCCACCCACTGGCGCCAGCGTCCGAGTCGCTGCCAGACACGCTGTCGGTGCCTTCTTCTTCTTCATGGTCGTCGTCGACGCCGCCGCCTTCCTACGTATCGACCCCATCATAGGTGTGTCAATGCCTATATATATATATATGCATGTACGCCAATGTATTCCTTTCGCTTTTCCGCCAACGACGCGGCTTCTTCGTCCACGTTCAGCTGTTCCACGAGCAAGTGCATGAGACCAAGGGAGCGAACTAGTTACGACGGGGTACCTCGCGCGACCGATCCAATCCTGCCATGTCCTTCTTGGAAATGGTAGCCTTCGGGTCGTGCCACACTGTCTTGACCTTGTTGTTGCTGCCCTTGGCTGGTTCTACACAGTGATTCGAGACAGTTTGAGACATGAGTGTGACCAACGGCGTCGTACCGTCGGTGTCCTTCTTGCCGCCTTTCTTCTTGCCGGTCCGTGGACCCGTGCGCATCGTCTTGGGCTGTTTCGAGCCGGCCCCGACAAGCTTGAGTTCGTGCTTGAGTTTCTCCAACTCGTCCCCGTCGCCATCCACATGAGCATTTTGCGTGAGTTCGATCTCCTTGGACGACACGACCGCAGGAGCATGCGTTGCGACGGGTCGTTTGGATTTCAAATGCGCGGACTCGACGTCGCGGAGAATGCGGTCAAACGTGCTGTCGAACGACGCAATCTGAACGCGAGTGCGGATTTCGTCGGCAAAGCTGGCCACCACCTCGCGCTTGAGCCGCTCGAGAAGCTCGTCGACGTACAGCAATTGCAATACCTTTTGGTACACGACGACCAGCACGAGTTGGAGTTTGTTCTCCAAGCTCCATCGCATCTGGTACGATTCGTAGTTGAATTCTTTGCGTCCAAGGCGCTCTTCCAATAACACCGTCTTGACCAACTGGTCCACAGGGTTCCCTCGGAGCTTGCACATCGAGCGCGACCATAGCACGGTGCCGCTTTGGCTGAAGATGGACACGTGGTCAAGCATGGTGTGGAGTTGTTGTCAATCGATGTCTGTGGAAGAATTGAAATGTCAATTGAGAGGTTCACGAATACACTTTCGATGATGTATAACAGTATATCCAGTAACACAGGTATTTGCTATTACAGTATACTATTATAGTATTAATAGTACTATTAGTAGTAGTACTACTACCTCTATTTTATTTCGATTATTAATATTAACGTTACTAATAGTAATGTTTCAAATAAGCTATGAATTTAAGGTTACAGGTATAGATTCTTTCTTTGGTCCAGAGGTCTATTACAAAATACTATGGGTCTGTCTAGATCAGGCACAACATACTACTAGTATTAATAACGTTACAGTACAGTAAGTGGCTCGAAATACAGCTTACATCGGTTTTTATCTATTTTCAATGCAGTTGGTCAATAAAAAAACTGCGAATGGATTCTAATAAATCATCCATGTAAAGTGTCATTACCGGAGAATGTTATTGTTGTGTTTATTCTAAACTGGAGAATGAATCGACACAACCAAATGTACAGAAGAATTGGCACAAGGATTTAGCCAATCAGGTTGCAGGAAACCATCATCAATGTCAAATTAGTGTATGAATTCAATTAGTGTGATACCTATCACCACACGACATCTTTTACGTACAAAATTCAGTATAATAATGAATCGATCCATAGATTTGGCGATTCAACACAAAAGTCCAAAATTTGGGTAAAAGGACAAGATCTTGATGCAAATCGGCTTCACACTGTCAAATGTACTGTAAGTACTTATACCAAATG